GAAACCCTATACAGTGTTGCTATGAGTCAGAACCAACTCGACAGCACTTAACAATGACAACAACAACATGGGCAAAATATTGAATTATGCAAGAACCATAAAACAAAGATGAATACAGTCACTGTGACAAAAATAACTGATTGATGTTCAGTCACTTTAAGAGGTCAAGAACCAATGGCATTGAAGAAAGAAGTTGAAGCTGTACTGAGGCCATTGACGAAAAACACAGCCCCAGGAATTAACGAAATGCCAATTGAAATGTTTCAACTACTGATGCGCCAGAAGCATTCACAAGCCTTTGTGCCAAGAAACTTGGAAGACTGCTACCTGGCCAACCAAGTGTAAGGGATCCATATTTGTGCCCATTCCAAAGAAAAGTGACCCAACAGAATGCGGAAATTAGTGAATAATGTCATTAATAATTATATGCAAAGTATACACTGAAGATCATTTTAAAATGCAGCAGGACATCAACAGGAAGAGGCTGTAAAATACAAAGATGTCTTAAATTTAGTCAAATTGATAGGTGTATAGCATCACCTGAACCCCACTTTTATTGCCATCATGTCGATTCTGACTCATCACCACCCTGTAGGACAGAGAAGAACTACTTCATCGGGTTTCCATATCTTTACGGTTGCTGACAGCCTCTTCTTTCTCCCAAGGAGCAGCTGATGGGTTTGAACCACCGACCTCTGCAGTTACCAGCCCAACACTTAGATCACTGCATCTCTTGGGCTCTTGTGCATCACATGAAGAACTTGTTAAAACACAGATTGCTGGATCCCATTCCAGGATTTCTGGTAGCTCATAGGTATCCTGAGTTATTGGATGAACAGACTGTCCCTGATGTAAAATGAAAAAGGCCTAAGAAAGCAAAAGCAGTTTGCTGTTGTATTAATATTTGCTAAGGAGCTCTGGTAGCGTAGTGGTTACGAATCAGGCTGCAAACCTTAAGGTCAGTGGTTTGAAACTACCAGCCGCTCCACGGGAGAAAGATGAGGCTTTCTACTCCCGTAAGGATTTACACCCTCGGAAACCCTGTACAGGGTCGCTATGGGTCGGGACCGACTCGAAGGCACTTCACAACAACAACAACAATGACAACGAGGCTTCCTGTACATTGAAAGGAAAAGACAATCAACCCGTTTACTAAAGCTGCCATAAACCTGTGCATCCCATCACACTATTGTCTCCAGTGAGGTTACACTGCTATCAAGTTGATTCCAACTCCTGTTGACCCTGCAGGAGAGTGTAGAAATGTCCCATAGGGCTTACAAGGCTGTATGTTTTTAGGGGAACAGACTTTTCCTGTGGAATGGATTCTGGGTTCAAACCACTGACCTTTTGGTTAGCGTGGAATGCTTTAACCACTGCATCACCAGGGCTCCTGAGAGTGAAGACACTGACCTAAAAATGATTATAAAATAGATCACCGTTTAGTATCGGTACTAACTAAAAAGTAAGTTCCTTCAACATCAAGTAAAAATTTAAAGATAGTACATAGATATTGGAAAGAAAATGTATTGCAATATTTAAAAACTAAATCCATATAAATAGACAAGCTCCAAGAACTAGACTCTGGTTTTGTTAGCACTTGTTAAGTGTCACTCAGTGGGTTCTGACTCATCGCAACCCTGTATAGAGTTTCCGACAAACAGGTGGTGGGTTTGAACCACCACCCTTGTGTTTTGAAGTCCAGTGCCTGTCATATAGCTCTAAAATAAATGAGCTCTACCACAGGAAAGACATTTAAGAATAATAAAATAATAGCAAGTGATTGAATTTTTTTATTTAGAAAAGATACATTGAAGAGTAATTATGAGTGTAATCACAATATCAGAGCCTATTATTTAAAAAATTACCTAAGAAATTAAATGTAAGCCTAAATTGTATTTACGCAAGAAATTGATGGAGGGATCAATTCTTAATTGCATTAAAGCTTTGGCTGGGTGTGAACAATTTTTAAAACAACAATAAAAATCTTATTAATAAAAAACCACTTATTTCTGCTACTTATATTTCAAAGAATGAGTGGCCTAGTGTCATCAAAGGCTGTTAAGGTATTTTACCTGGTAGTACATTGTTGGGAATTGTATCCTAAGTAATGGTGCAAAAGAAAGAAGTCAAGCACAGAGCTTCTCCCCTCTTCCTATGCCCCCACTAGTAAGTTCTTTTGTTGTTGTTTAGTGCTATACAACCCTGTATAGGTTTTCCAAGGAGTGCCTAGTAAGTTTGGACCACCAGCCTTGTGTTTCAAACCGACCTTGAGATAGAGTGCTTATCCTACAGTGCCACATCCAAGTTCTTTTAAAACAGCAGAAACTTGGAAACAACCTAGAAGTCTGGCAATAGGGAAAAAGGTCACTAAATTAAAGCATAGTCATTGAATGAAAACTGGTCTATTAAAATGTCTGTTACAAAGATTTCAAAGAACCATGGGACATTCTTAAGATTTTATAACAAGATATAAAATTACTTGTTAAAAAACACATGCTTATGGTCAAAAAGTAGAAGTGAAAACTCAAAAATAATTTTGTTAGTGTGGTGATTCAGTGAATGAGTTTTTCCTTGTATGTCAGTCATATCACTGTTGGTATAGACATATTGTTTTGTAATGACCCAGATCGTACGAAGCATTATTTAGGAAGGTGGAACAATCGTTGACTGGTATTGGAGCTGTCCTGTAGATAGTAATGTCAGTTCACGTAACTTTGGAAATGAGACAAGCCAGAAAACCCCATCATTCTCTCCCAAGTAGCTCAAGTTTTGCTATTGAATTAAGAGCTTTCATTTCTGCTTATTTATGTTAACCAAGGTCAGCTGGCATGACATAGTCCACAATGACAGTGTTGCACATCCTGCTTTTGTGAGTAGCATCTAACGACTGAAAAACTCCTGAGTGGCTATCTAAGGTGCAACTACTTGGGGCTCCTTGTCCAGAAGTTAAACAAGAGTGATGAAAATCTAAGGTACATGAACAATTAGTCCAGTAAACTAATGGACCACGCAAACATCAACCTCCACGACCCTGAGAACAGACCTTGATAGTGCCCAGCCACCACTAACAAGTGTACTCAAAGGGGAAGCATTAGAAAATTCTGGATACAGTGGGAGAAGAATATGGAGCAAAGCTCAACATCATAAAAAAGACCCAGTTTAATGGTCAATTAGAGACTGGTGGAATCCCCAAAACTGTGACCCTTAGTTACCCTTCATGTCTGGAAATGAACTCACCCCCATGGCTCAGTTTTCTGCCAAAGAACAGACAAGATCTAGAAGGGGAACAATAGCACTGTGGAGGTACACACACCCTAGAAGACCAAAAATTCAGCACTTGCCCAAGAATAAAGTTTAAAAGGATTAGGAAAGAAGGAGGAAGGAAGCAGGAATCCCAGGGAAGTGGGATAAGAATTACAATCAAGACATGAAACAAAAGATGTATGATTGTTGAATGAAAAACTGATAATCTTCACAACTGTACTGTAGACCTTCACCTGGTTCACAATAAAAATTTTAGAGTCTCTAACAATGCATTATATCAAGATTATGAGAATATACTATTGATAATTTATGAGATTATGCATGCATAACAGTGATTTAGAGTTTGCGTTACTGAAATTAGTTGGAAATTCACTTCACAATGAGTTTGTCTTAATAGCCACATGTAATGTTGAAATTGAAGGATAGAGTAATGGTTCTTTTTTTTTTTTTAAACAGGAAAGAGCTGATCTTGTCTGGCACTTTAAATCCAATTAAGGATTTACATCTGGGAAAACTGGCCTTAACTAAGTTTCCAAAGAGTCCAGAAACTTGGATTCACAGGTGTGTCTAATGTATATGATTGTGTCCTTTGGATTTAGACTGGGGAAATAAACATGGACTCTGAGGTCGGGTTGCATTGTAATTCAGAGTGTGGATTCACTTATCTGTGTTTAAGCCTAGATGCCCTCACTTGCTATCTGTGTCATCTTGGGAATTCATTTCACTTCTCCAAGTCTCAATTTTGTCATTTGTAAAACAAGGATGATAGCACCTATCATAATCAATGATGGCGGTTGCATGCAAGCACTACTATAAAGCCTGGAGTGTATTATTACACACTCAGTGGTGGTGGTGGTAGTGGTGGTATTAAGTGCAACTGGGTAGTTTGAACCGCCGACCTTGTAGCTGAGACTGACCTTGTAGTCCAGCACATTATCCTGCAGCGCCACACCAGGACTCCACACACTCAGTGAATGCTAGATATTATTACTAACTACCTGAAGCAGTTATTGAGGTGTTGAGATTGAACTGTAATGAACAACTTGGGTTTTATAATATGTTAGAGTATGTCTCCGGTAAAGATGGTGGTGGTGGTTACTAACATTAATTTTCAGAGGAAGGAAAGGGCAGCCGAGGTGAATGGACTGAGCTAAAGCTAAGATCATAAATTCAAAGAACTGTATTTTTAGGTTAAAGGCCTGAGGCAGAGTCTGAATGCATATAGGGACTCATTCAGAATCCTGGTTATCTGGAAGAATCTTCCTCTTGAACCACAGGTAGCAGCTCTCATGTGATTGAAATGGCACAATGTGGCCTTGCTGATGGTAGTTGGTGGACAGAGTCTCTGAAGAAGGCGCTCCTCAGTTTATTAAATTGCTCTAACTTTTCTCAAATCCTGGGCAGTTTTAGGATTTTACTTCGGTTGAAGGTATAACTTACTGTAATGTTGCCTATGGCTAGCATTACAAATCAGCTCCTTCCAAACCACTTAGTTGTGTTTTTTTCCTTGCTAGAAACTGGAATAGTGAACCTCGGAGAGATAGATACTTGCATGTACAGGGTGGCAGGGGTGGGATTAGCAAAGGTGCTGGGAGAATGGGGAGGGCCTATTAAATATGCATCCATACATTGGCTGACTTGACATTTTTATAAAGCAATCTTTTATTATTAAGTAAAACTGTCCATTATTTTAAAATGATTTTAGTACTCAGTTTCCTATGTGCCTTTGGAATTGGTAGTCTGAAAGAATGCTTTCATATGAAAAAAATATTTGCAAAAACCGATGGCATTAAGTAGTTAGAAACACTGTGTTTAGTATATTTGGTTTGATTTAAATGCATGTTAATGCAAATTTTAAGTAGGCAAGGGGGAAATCTGTGGATAAAGCATTTTGAGACCTCCTTGGTGGTGTAACTAATTATATCGTGTTTGTTTCATTCCAGCTTCTATGCATTAGCGTAGGAATTTTACTTAATGAAAGCTGTCATGTGCAGTTTCTTGTTTGCAGTCAAGCACACTTCTGATAGAGGAGGTAGGGAGAAGGTGAGGTAGGCGTGCACATACACTTTGAAACATCCACCAGGACTCCTAGTGTTTCCCAGACACCAGTTACTGTACTTCCCACTTCACCACATACACACGCAGAAAGACCCAGAACAGTTGACTTGACATTTCCTAATAAATCTGGAGATACCATTTTGGAATTGATGGCATTCTTTTTGACAAATTGTAACGTTTTAGGAAGGATATTCTTTACTTATATCCCTTTTTCTCAAACATTCATGCTGCTAACTTTAATTAAGCCTCTAAAAACAACCAAACGCCCCTAACTCCTTTACTCACCCCTCCAAAGGGGAAAAAACCCTGGATTTGTAAGCAGGTGTTATTTTGAATTTTGAATGGCAATGAAATTCAGAACAAGAAAACTGCTCTTTTCCTCTGTGGTTTATATTCTTCCCTTATTCTCTCTCCTGGGTGCCCCTAACTAGGCGATGGGTGCTACAACAGCTAATTCAGGAAACCTCCTTGCCTTCCTTTGTGACCAAAGGGAACTTGGGCACAGTTCCTGCAGAAAGAAGACAACGCCTAATACGAGAAGAGATGGAGGTCTGTGGTGAGGCTGCAGGGAGGTACCCAAGCAACTATAACGCCTGGTCCCATCGGATCTGGGTTTTACAGCACCTGGCCAAGCTAGACATCAAGGTAGGCCCGTTATTTAGTGTCACAGGGCCGACTGCCTGTCTGCCCTTTAGGTCTTCGGTGGGAGTGCATCATCAGGAGCTTTAAAGGAGAAAACTAGAGGAGCTAATGGTCCATCTCTCCAAAGACAATTGTGACAGCTGATACTGCTAGAGAAACCCTGACACTTAAAAAAGAAAATGAAGGATTACTTGACAGTTCAGTTTTTGGCAGCCTCAAAGTAGAACATGGCAACTTAGTAGCATAGTGGTTAAAGTGCTCAGCTGTGAACCCAAAGGTGTATGGTTTGAAGAAGCCACCAGCTGCTCCATGGGAGGAAGATATGGCAGTCTGCTTCTGTAAAGATTGTTTTTATTAAGTGCTGTAGAGTCTGTTCAGACCCATAGCGCCCCTGTATAGGGGTTTCCGAGGACAGCTGGTGAGCTTGAGCCTCCAACCTTAAGGTTCAAACTGACTATGCAGCCCTGCGCACCAACTCACAGCATCCCTGTAAGAATCCAGAAGAGCCCATAAGGTTTCAAGACTGTAATTTTTACAGAGTCCTAGTGTGGTTAAGATCATTGGTAGAACAAAGGCAGAGTTAACCAATCAAGGAAGACTGGCCATATTCACTTTACCCTGAAGCAGGAGGGAGTATTAAGCCTTATTTCTGATAGTGTAGTGGTTACGAATCGGGCTGCGAACTGCAAGGTCAGCAGTTCAAAACTACCAGCTGTTCTGTGGGAGAAAGATGAGGCTTTCTGCTCCTGTAAAGATTTACAGCCTCGGAAACCCTGTACAGGGTCACTATGAGTCGGAACTGACTCCATGGCACATAACAACAACAACATAGTAGTCTTTGGACTCCTGGTGTGGTGCTGTAGGATCAGCACTGAACTGTGAACTGCAAGGTTGGCAGTTCAAACCCACCAGCTGCTCTTCAAGAACCCTACACAAAGTCACTATGAGTTGGAACCAACTCAACGGCACTTAACAACAGCAACATCATAGTGGCCTTTAAGAAACACTGGTAGCGTAGTGGATAATTAGCTGGGCTGCTAATTAACCATAAGGTTGATAGTTTGAATCTACCAGTTGCTCTGTGTGAGAAAGATGAGGCTTTCTGCACCCTTAAAGATTTACAGCCTCAGAAACCCTATACAGGGTTGCTATGAGTCAAAACCGACTCCATGGCATACTACCACCATCATAGTAGTCTTTGGAGTCCCGGTGTGGTGCTGTAGGGTAAGCACTGGATTGCCAACTGCAAGGTCGTTAGTTCAAACCTACCAGCCACTCCTCAGACACTCTACACAGAGTTGCTAAGAGTTAGAACTGACTGGACACCACTTAGCAACAAGAAACAGCCTTTGAGTGTATGCTTTAATGTGCTTAATCAACTGACTGCTTTTTCATAGCCTTCTCCCCTAGGCACCAGAGATCTTACCCAGGTGGTTCCCAAACTTGGCAGAACCTCTGCATTACCCATGCCTCCTAGTCCCCCACCCCAGACCAGCGAAATTGAAGTGAGGTTGGGTGCAGAGATGATTATTTTTCACAGATTTGAAGCTACCCTCCTAAGTGCGTATTAGGATGCAGAGCCAGGGTAGAAATGGTCAGAGCTAATCTCCTCCTGTAGGCGTGAGGAGTGGAGCTCTCCAGATCATTGGAATGGCTTCGACTTGCCTCTTGTGACTGCTTATTGTCCATCATAATGAGAAGCAGCCGCCCTGTGTTCCTGCCTATGGACTACCCACGCCGTAGCTTCTTGATCTTGTGCTGCCATAGTACCATAAGAATCAAGGATACTCATCTCAAAAGTTTCCTGGGCTTCGGGCCCAAAGGAGGGAAGACAAGTCAGAGGTCAGAATGCCCTAAGCAGTGCTTTCAGATTAATGGGGAAGCCGTCTCTAGTTTTTATTTCCTGTGGGTTCTCTCTCTCCCTAGGTTCTTCTCCTCTCTTTGTTTCCTAGCCAGAGACTCCTCCAGGACTAATAGGAGTATTTTTATTCCTGGGGGATCTTATTTTCCATCCAGTTTACCTGGCTTTAGGTTTCAGGAAAGAGCACCGCCTAGTGGAATAAAAAGCTCAATGACTACATGGACTTGAGTGCAGATTCCGATGCTACTAGCTATGTGTGGAAAGTAGGGTTTTAATG